TTTTCTTGGACCAGAAACACTTCCAAATCCATAAATAGGTATTTATCTTTACTTTTTCTCATAATGTATTTAGTAAAAACGCTCTAGATAAGAGAATAATTTAGATTTATCAAATATTTCAAGTCTTTTATTTTTAAGTACATGTTAATTATCCAGAATCATGGTTTTTTCATAATCTGTTTATGCAAAACAAAGAAAAAGCGTTTTTTTTAATTGATGAGAGGAATGTTTGCTCATGGTCATTTACAGATATCACACACAGATCGCTTTATAAACGGTGAAAGTTTCGAATGCGTGCCTTCATCAGAGTTTTGATGGAAAATTTACTACTCATTAGTGCGTCGGTCTTCCAAGAGCTCCTAGTTTTGCGCATTAATTTCTTCAAATCGGAGGACGATGGAAACTTTTTTATTCACTTAACAAAAGTGCGCCTTATCAGCTGTGGAAGTTTTTGCAAAAGGGTAAAAGCTTTCCGTTTAGTTTCCAGTGTAGTTTATAGACTTGTAATTCTTTAGCGAACTCATTTATTCAAAATWCAAAAGATTTTTTATTGATGGCAGAAATATTCGCTTGATAAACGGAAAAACTTTCGAATCACTGTCTCAATCAGAAAATGTTTCTAGAAAGTTTCAACTTTAGCATACAAGTTTTGCAGTTTTGTCTTTGCCTTCTTGAAACCTTAAATTTGTCTTGATGGCAACAGCGCCATCATCAGATTGAAAATTTACACAAACTCATAATTGGTAAACGTTAACGTTCTTTTAGGTCTTTGCCTTCTTGAAACCGTAAATTTGTCTTTCGAGAGACAAATTTATGGTTTCAAGAAGGCAAAGACCTAACAGAACGTTAACGTTTACCAATTATGAGTTTGTGTAAATTTTCAATCTGATGATGGCGCTGTTGTCTCACCGAAACGTAGTGAATTAAACGATGTTTCAAAATTTTTACTTCACACTTTGACTGAGACCCAGGAACGATAAGAATTTTTTACGTCATCATTTATATGTTTTCCACTTGACTGAATGATTTTTGGAAAATCGTGAAACATTGGGGTGAAGAAAGAGCTTT